CTTGCGATTCTACTACGATTCAACTACGATTCTGCACAGGGGAACGATTTCTATATGAGTTGACTCGTTTTGGGTTGGTAGAATCATGCGATTCTACGATCCAGGATCGCGATTTTGACAACCATGCTTTCAACCAAATCAAACCCCACATTCATATCTGGTATACACTGCTAAATTGATCAACTAAATGAACATCCCCATACATTACAAAAGCCTATATTATTGATAATATCAAAGAAAATAAAGGAACCTGAGAAACACCAGACCAATTTATTTATTTGAATTTGCAGGACCTACAAAATATAAAGCCTGCGCAGAGCATCCCTACCACTCTCCTCCACTTCATCAGATTCTCTGACCCTAATTTTGTATTTAACCTTAAAGACAGCAATGAGCACTCAGTCATTTAACTCATATAATTCAAAGCCAGAATAATATTGTTTCAGGTAATCCAAGAGATCGTTCCCGAAGCTTTATTCACTGCTGAGGGGAGGTTTCAGAGCACTGGACATGTTGGCCAGAGTAGGGAACCGGCAAAATTCCCATTGAAGAATTTACAACACCTTGGAGATAAAGGATGATGATATTCCGATGGGAGTCTCAAGAACTTCAATTTTTATTTTCAGCGAAATAGGCTTGTTTGGTATAGCTCAGGATGTTGCAGCTCCATAAAAAAATATAAAAATAAAATAAAAAGAAAGTGGAGGGCAGAAGAAAATGGAGGCAGAAGGGGCAAGTCTCTGAGAGGCGGACGAAGGCTAGCTTTCAAGTGGTGCCAAGGGCGTATAGCCAAGGGAGAGCATTGGAGATGCCGTCGTGGCTGTGCTCCATGTCTACAACAATGAAATCGTAGCCAGCAAGGCCCGTGATTTTGGTGAGGGTAGGGAAGAAGCTATGGAGGAAGAAGCATAGAGGGTTTCACCATTCTCTAGACAGGATACAAGAGATCTTGGAAGAAGTTGGTGGAATTCAACAAAGAGAGATCAGACAACGCGCATAAATGCATGTAGTTATAGCAAATATTTTTAGTGTTTTTGAAAATATAAATATAAATATATGCATATGAAGGTCAAATTATGGGTGTATTTGGAATTTCAAAAAAAATTATTACTATTACACCTCACTTATTAAAATAAAATAAAGAACAAATTTGTTTTGCACGTAAAAACGGCATAAGAACAGATTTGGATCCTCTCCATTAACTTCTCTCTCCAAGTATCCACAAACCATCACTTGACAATTATGAATATGCCACGTCATCACTTTTGTTAGGATTTCGCTGCATATGTAACCATAACATTGTAGGTAGTTGCACAAATGATGACTTGGCATGTTCATAACCGTTAGATGATGGCTTGGAGATGCTTGGAGAGAATCCATTTTTATAAGACCGCCTCAATTTCATGTTTATGATATCCTGGGGGACTTTTCATCACCACAAGGAAAACACTAACAAAATTAATAGTTTAGGAACATTTTGCAACTTAGTCTAATTCTATTATCAATAAAATTAATAGAAACAAATAAGCCAAATGAAGCAATTAAATACATTAATAAAAAAATCACTAAATGTCACAAAAACTTGTCAAACTCAAACAAATATGGAAACTACAGTAGTCTCAATTTTGACATGAAGGGATCAAAAGTTATGTATTGTATAAAATATTATCTATTAAAAAAATTTAAAGACCCATAATTCTTAATATTCTTTTCTTTTTTTTTATACGTAATAATACTTAATATTCTTTACAACTAATGAATGGAAATTTATCAAGAAAAGACCTTCAACTCTTTAAAGATGAGCAAAATTTATAATTAATTCATGTCAAGGAAAGAAAGAAAATTATATATTTTTTCCCCTCACTCCCTCTCTCTCTCTTTCATGTGTCAAATTCTTATCATTTCTCACTTTCTCTTGCTTTTCTTCTCTTATTACCCTCTTGGAATATTCTCCTTTATCCAATGTCTTCCTTCACCCATCCATTCTTTTATCTCATCTTCTCCATTCTCTCATCCATCTTGTCCTTCCTCTTTATTTCCTCCTTTGTTTTGTCCTTTTTCCTTTTCTTGACAAGTTGCTTTGTCTTCTCTTCCCTCATGGTTCCCTCTCTTTCTTCTTTATTTTCCCATAAGATAATTAAAGAACCCCAGGACAAGTTACATCGGCTTCATTCATCAAAAGGTCAACTGTTAGGATGTCATTTCCTGACATAGAGATCAAACAAGAATTGGTATGGGATTTAACAATTGGACAAGGGCCAATTTTAATTTGGCCCAATATTTTTTAGGAGGACAAAATCAGTCCAAAAAAACATTAAAATTGTGAGTCCATGGAATCACATTAGTGGACATCAACTCTATAACTAAACGAATCTTGAGCAAGATAGTATCCTATCAACTTGGTAGACTAATTGGAGCAGGATGGTGAATTCATGATATGAAAGCCACAATTACAGAGATCTAGAATCTGAATCAGGTGTTTAACAACAACTACCTGCAGATAACTACAAGAACTCAAATCCAAAACCTACGAGGTTCCCTGATATAGAAATCAAATGAGAATGGACTGAAAGATTTAACAATTGGGACTATGGCCAATTTTAATTTGACCCCGTATTTATTAAGGCACGGAAAAAAAATGTGAGAACATAGATTCACATTAGTGGATAACAACTCTATAAATAATGGTTCCTGAACAAGATTCTATCAACTTGGTCGACTTCAAGGGAGTAGGATAGTGACTCCAAGGTATAGCAACAAGAATTATAGTGTTCTGCAAACCAAATCAACAACAGCAGCCTGCAAATATCTACAAGCATTCACTTCCAAAACCCTATCAAATACATTTTGTTAGAAAATTGAGTCTTGTGTTGGTAAATCACTATACAAAACTTGGTTGTAGTTGAAAAATGTTCATGGGTCAGTATACCTTAGAAATCATACAAAGGAACATACAACTAAAGATGAAGAGTAACCAGAAAAAATAAATAAATAAGGATCGAGGATGGAGCTATAAAGATTATGGAAGATCCATTAAGCTCAATCATATGACTATGAAACAGTAAGCACAAGACCTTAGCGGATTCAGGAATCTAGGTCGGTTAATTATTAGAAAGTTGGATGGATCATGACCTAGTTATTTTAATTATTGAAAGTGGCTAAAGTATATTTTTCTGAAAACAATTATATATTTCATATCAGAACACTTTGACAGATTGGACCTCAACATGGTCATTGAGATTTCAATGGAAGTATGAATAACTTTACAGACAGCATGACAAATTGACAATACTTGAAAATGTTCATGGGTCAGTATGCCTTGGTAATCATATAAAGGAACATCAACTGAAGAGGATAATGATTGGGCAAGGAACTATTAGTAAGGATTATGGAAAATTTATCAAGCTCAATAATATGATTATGAAAGAGTAAAGATAAATACCTTAGTGGATATGGGAATCTAGGTAGATATTCGACTACGCATGACCTTTTTTGGATTATTGAGGTGGTTAAAAAAAAAAAATTTGAAAACAATTAAATATTTTACATTAGGGATTTTTGACCGATTAACCTTAACATGGACCGGTCGATATTTCAATACAAGTACAATAATTTTCCAGAGAGCATTCATGGTTATTTCAATGATCGACCATCGGCCGTTTTCTCCAACTTTCAGTGAGCAAACTCAGATCGATTCAGCAGCTGATTTTTTATTTAGAACAACTGATAAAGAGCTTCCTGTTTATGTAAGACTCATAGAATGGCTATAAATACATCACATAGTCAAGCTAGGGTAGAAGAAGTAGAGAGAAAAAGAAGAGTACAAAGATCATATAAGATAAAGCTCGGATTATCAATCTAGCATTCTAAATAAATCATCATTTCCTCGCGTGAATGTGGTTCAAAACATTGATTTTAACTGCAGATCACCAACCATTGATCAACTGGGTATTCTAAAGAGAAGAGGAACGGACGAAAAACTAAGGAAGAGCAAGCTTTGTTGAATGGAAAATTCGTTGATCGATAGTGGTAGTATTCAAGGCAGCATCATGCGTAAATCTAGAGCTGAGATCACTATAGGAGATTCTATGGGGAACCAATCTCCTTTCTTAAGGTTTTCCACGTAAATCATGTATCTGTGTTATTACTTCTTTATTTTATTTTTGCTCTCCATATTCAAATATTTTTATTGTTGCAGTTCAAATAGAAAAGTTAGATTAAAAAATTAGTTTTCAGTAGTTAAGAATTTTTCAAGACCTATTCAACCCCCTCTACATCCCATGGAACTTTGTGTATTCTGAAGTACTAGATCGTAAGATGAAGGCACTTCCATTAGCTCGTATCTCAGTATCTCTGGCACCCTCAAAATCAACAACATTGTTGGGGTCATCCATTGTTCAAATTTTTGTACACCATTGACAAAACTAGTTCTACATTATTGAAGATTGTTTCGCCCTTAGCTATTCACAGTGGCTTCATCAGTTGACAAATACCAAAAAACGAATTAATGATAGAGATAGATATTTACATCTAATGTAACAATGGCAAGAGTTACTTTCCAATAGTCTGCTCAAAATCCATATGATACAATCTTAGCCATACAATCAATTCTTAAAGAGCACTTCCCTGAGCTTTCCCAACAACAAAAGCTATTTTGAGGATATTTACGTATCCTGACATAATCAAATTTAGGAGAAATAACTGTATTGTAGTTGGATTCAACAATCCACATCCCATTAAGTTGTGCAATGAAAAGGTTGGAAATATCTCTCAATGACTATTTCAAATTCATAATACATATTTATCCTTTAAGAATTCTTTAATCTAGTAAATGATATGATGTTATCATAAACCCTAGAAAGTCGGTGTATCGCATGCAATGTTTGAATTTCTTTCTATGTAATGATATATCCCTAGTAAAGCAGACACAGTTAAAACAGTAAAGATCATAAAGAGAAATTAAGAGCTTTAACAGGCAAGGTTGTAAAGAATAAAATTACCTATCTTAGTTGGCAACCGCATAGCCGACGGACAACTAAGAAATAGCACTGGCACTTTTCTCACTGTTTATAAAGAATCTGCAACCATGAACAAGAAACTCAAAAATGCTCCAAAGTAGAATGAAGTTTTGGAACCTTCCGGCGAAACAATGGTTCGAGCCGGAAAGCCGGAACACCAGTCTGCCACCTTTTAGCATCATACATCTCGTTCCATGCCTGTACTATCTCATCAATGTTGAATCCTAAACAACAAAGAGTTAGTAAAAAGGGGGGAAAGAAATAAAATAGACAAATTCAAACAGAAAAAAGAATATACAGAACATGCCCAATATGTAATAAAATTATGTCAATGGGAATTTTTATTTACCATCTAGTGCAGTTTCATTGGAACAATGGTTCTTTATCATCACAGCTATATCCGTTGGAGAAGCTCCAGCAAGTTCAAACTTTTCAACTGCAACCTCCAAACATTCTCCCCATGTTGGTAAACTTAACTTGAATTCGACAACAGAACGCTCATAGAGCAAGGTACCCCATAAGAGGTATATCTGAGACCTCATGTTTGCAGCCTGCTCTGCAGATTCATCAGCAGATATCTCTTTAAATAGACCATCTAACCCCATTTTCTGCAACTCAGCTTTGTATTTATCTGATTTGGAGAGTCCATTTAGACGTTGTTCCTCCATCTCCTCCCACATCTGCATGCCCCTCTCCATACTATCCTCAGCTTGATTAAATAATTCCAGGACCTCTGGAGCCCCTATCTCTACATGAACCTCGCATCCAGTTGCGTAATTCCAAGAGAGCTTTGCCTGTTCAAACTGTTGCTGCCCAAGTGCAAGGAGGCCTTCATAGAAGTCTGGTTTGACTTTTAGAGCTTCTTCATACCTCGTTCCTGCCATCACATATTCTTTGTTTGCCCATTCATATGCAGTTTTAACCTGCGCCAGTATCAACTCTCTTGAACCATCTTCAGTTAAAAATGCCCGCTTCCTTGCCCTGGACATGTGAACATTTCCCCAATTGAACATGGCTAAAGCTGCCATCTCTTGGAACTTCTCTGCAGCAATTTCAAAAAGTTCTTGGGCATCTTCACTGGTAACAGCATCCTCCATTGCTTCTGAGTATAGCTTCATCCCCACCTCATGAAGATCCAAGTATGAATCAGAATCAAACCCAACATGATTCTTGAACAGCCGTGCAAACTGGATAATCCAGTCATCAATACAAGACGACTTATTCTCGAATTCCTTGCCTTTATCGCCATTTCCATTCTCTGCAACTTTCTTTGGTTCAGCATCAACTTTGTGCACCTCTTCCACATTTTTCATTCTCTCATATGATGGTTCTTTATCAGGACTAACTTCAACAACATGTAGTCTCAGGGAACCCTGCTGATCACCAGAAGTTTCAGCCAACCTCAGCTCATCAGTTGTTGTGATTGTAACCAAATCACCTTCTTGATCCCTATACTTGATAAGTATACCCTTCAAACTCGGAAATCTGTCCTGAACTGTCTCCCTCACCAGGCTAATCCCACAATTAACAGGAAACTGTGCCCACCTTATATCCTCTCCAAATACCAATTTTACTGTCTTTGTGACCACTTTTTCTTCCTTGATGCTTATCTTCTCCTCCACAACCACCTTATCCTCAGTCTTCTTTTCCTCGACTTCCTCAGACGTCTTCCTCTCAAATTTACGGCTCTTCTTCTTTTTCACCTTCTCTTTCAAAGCCTTTCGTGAAGGTGAAGGGCGAAGTGGCTCAACATATTCTGGAGGCAAAACAATGTCTTTATCTTCAACGTTGAGACCCCTTTTCTCCATTGCCTCCTTCACACTATCCGCAATCTCCAAGGCAGTCAAATTGTTTGGTTCCATATCCAAGACAATATTAACATCTCTCAGAGCCAACTCAAGCCTATTCAAAGCTTCATAACACCTTGCCCTCTTCAGTAATGCTTTGCTATACTTGGGTGCAACTTCAAGGGCCAAATTGCACTCGCTAATCGCTCTTGGGTACTCACCAAGACCCATTTGCATATAGCAAGCAGCCATGTTGCTGCGTAAATTGGCCACCTCAATGTGATTTCTCGGGAGCAATTTGAGGGACTTTTCATACTTCAACATTGCACCCTCATGATCGCGCCTTTGGAATAGTTTGTTTCCTTCTTCCTTCAATTCCTGAGACATGTTGACAAAGATGGCTGTGTCTTCGTCCAATGCCTTTGAGGTGCGATCAGGAGCCTTGCTCTGCTTCATATTTCCATCATTGGGCTTTGCACCTACCGGTTTGTTCTTCTTTCCAGTAGGCTTCCCCATCTCCAATCAATAACTAGCTAAAAAACCCCAAAACTATAGCTTAAATAACACACTAATTTTGTTTCTATAAACCCACCTTACAACTTTGTTCTCTACCACCAAAAAAAATTAATCAATAAGAGAACGTTCTTGAAGAGTTCTCAATCTTCAAATGAATGGATATACATTTCCAAACCCCCAAACCCAAATTGAAAACTTAATTCTTCCAATAATCTCTCTGTCTCCAACCTTCAAATGAATGGAAATACACTCCCAAACCCCCAAACCAGATTTCAAAAGCTTAATTCTTCTAATAAATCGTTCTCTCTCTCTCTCTCCAACCTCCAAATGAATGGAAATAAAAAAGAAATATAAACCCCAACCTTTAACTTCAAAAACGTTCTAACACAATCAATAGCTTAATTCCTCTAATATCTCTCCTAATCTCTCTCTACAAACCTTTCTCTCACAAAATTAAAAGATACAAAACCACGAAATGCCTTTCTCTGGAAAGGAATAATAGGGGAACTTTAAAGGGGAATTTTAATGGAGAACGTGAATTTCCTCTCTCATAAACGAAAATTCGAATTACAAAGACAGATACCTAGAGAGATAAATATCTAGAGAGAGAGAGACCTGGTCCTGTCATTAATGGCGTCTTCGGCCGCAAAAGAATAAAATCATTTTCGTTCAATGCACATCTCCTAGGGTTTTCTTCTTCTTTTGCAGAGGACCGAGAGTCAACGCCCCATTGTCATATAACGCGCGTGCATTTACTCTCCCACACCATTATTTTTTCTTACCTAATAAGAGAGAGAGGGAGGGAGGGAGCGAGCGAGAGGGGCACATTTGTACAGTGAATTTTTTTTAATCCAATAACGGAGAAGAGAGTTTTTGCTGCATTGTGATAGTGTGATTCTCAAAAATAGGACTTTGCTAACCGACCTCTATTTTAAGAAATATATATATATGACAATGAAAAAAAGACTAAGAAATATATATAGAACAACTACAAGATAAAATAAAATGATGAGTTATCTCAATTTCATCCTGTTCTAATTATATATATACAGGGTTTCAAATGAATTCAAAGAAGTTGAATTTGAGTCGGTTTGTGTTTGACTTGTGAAATTGGTTGATCAAGATCGTGACCACCTTAAAAGGCTGAGTTCGAAAAAAATTTGTCATTCTTTTGAAAAATTCAAACCAAATCTAACTCAGCTCGTCTGATAATAAAAGCCGTTCAAGCTCGATATGAACTCATACGTAATATCGTTTTGACTTACCTATGAACTTATACAAATCTACACAAGCCTATACTCGTGAGTTTACTACATTAATGAACGTATACAAGCCTATATTTATCAACGCACTCAAGCGTTTAAACGAGCCCTATATGAATTCACATTCATGAACATTTATGAACCTACACGAGTTCATGTTCACAATTCTAGACGAGTAGAGCTCAATATTGTTTAGAATTGGTTCGTTCACAAATATAGAAATCGAGTCCAAACTTAACTTGTTTACTTCACGAACAAGTTCAAGTCGAACTTTAGACAAGTTGAACCCGAGTTGTTCATGAGCAGTTCGATTCATTTACGGTCCTATATCTCTCGCTTTTGGCATAGCGGCCCCCAGTGGGAGGCTCGCACAACGAGCTATTAACTTAGTGATGGAGTGCACCCCTGAGAATTGCGTTGTTGTGCCTAGTTGTGGGGGCTCTCAGTCACATGGATAGTTCAATGTGCTCATCAGCGCCTGACCCTGAGATGTGAATCAATCTACACACAAATATTGTTACAACATGTCCCATATCATGTATAGTTCATCTAAGTAGATGACACTTTGTCACCGTGGGATTTGGAGGGAGTAAAATGTATCCGTTTTACTTTCACTATGCAAAAAGTTATTTGGGTAATTTTATCATTCCATCAAAATCTAGCTTCAAAAGAATAAAATAGGTAGACTTCAAATTCATGATATATGCATGATCATAGTATAATTCACAAGCTTATAAATTAAACCATCCCAATATAAGGAATTGATCAAGTAAGAAATAATAAGGCATAATTCTCAAATTATTATTTGTCTATATAAATTCTTTTTCACTAAGAAATTGCATGCAAACCATATAATTTGCATATTTGGATTGTCATCGCAAGTCTATAAAAAGGAAATACGAAGTAGCACAGAAATAGTGACCCCATCACAGATCATAACATCTCTGGCAAACATGTTTTTTCACGCGGAGAGATGGCATGTGAGAGTGGCGCGTGGAATACACGAATCCCAAAGCAGTTGGCCCTGGCACTCATTTTCCTATAAAGGCAGAAATAAATCTCATTTTCTATCTGTACTTTTACTTTTTAACATTTAGTAGTAATGAAATCTAGTGGACCCCATGTTTGTCCTAACCAGGTAGAGAATGATCTGGATACCATGATCATTATACTTTTCGAGTAAAATACACTCAATTCCTTCAAATCTATTACTCCACTCAATTGTTTTGATATCAATATTTTTTCAAATTTTAATTTCAATTAGTCAATTGAATGGCAAATAAACTATGAATTTTGGAGGCTTTTATTTATTTATTATTACCATTTTTTTAGGCATACATGCTCTTTAAATATTTTCATGTTGACAGTGCAATTAACAATGACCTTTTGAAGTGTTTTATAATAGGCATATACTGCTCAGGATATGCCACTCGCAGTAGTTTCTAGTTTGGATTTTTTTTTTTTTAGGCACTGGTATAATGGAGTACAACATAGGGTATAAAAAAAAAAGGAGGATTCAATCAAGCCCAAAATATAAGACTAAACATTACAATGAGAAATATGGGTAGTAAAAACTCCTTCAAACCGTAACTCACAATTTGTGAACCAAGACACTTTTTATAGAATATAAAGAGTATATTCATCATAAAAAAATAAAAATAATAATAATTATCCGGACAAAAGAAATTGTATGGGATATGCATTCCATCATCATCCAAAATTTGGAAGCTTTGAGTTTCAAGAGAGCATTCTTCTGTTAACACGCCTAACACCCACATTAATTTGAAATAAAAAGAGGGCAAAACACACACACACAAACACAGTAGTTTTATGAGGATGGTCAGCCAAGTGCATATATTTAAAATTCAGACTAGATTATCCATAGAAAAAGCGAGAGTGTACTAGGTCATCACCATTGATCAACTATACAAATTTCACATTAGAGGAAATTGTTCTGGCAGAAATATTTACAGTGGTGGTACATAAAAGTTGGACAATCCACATATGATTTGCCCACTTTTTGAATCTTTGACACCACCAGCTCAAACTACTGGATTTGCCAGCATACATTTGACTCCCACTTGCTGTATAAGAAAGAGGTTATCTATCCTAGTTTACAACATGACAACAGGATCTTTTTCTCCGCGAGATATATAAATCATCGCGTATAGTGTGTGTATTTCAGGACAATGGATTCAAAAATTGATTGGGAAAGCAATCGTGTGAACAAGGAGTTATTTTGCTGGGTTCCAAGACCAAAATAGCAAGTCCATGATGCCTGCCTCTGTAGGTTGAGATATGTTCCTTTCGCGTTGCTGTAGAACTCTTACAAACTCGTCTGCACTTATCTTTCCGTCACGATTCGCGTCAAAGACGTGGAAAATGATTTCGATGACATTGTCCGTGAGAGAGACACTGCATACCTGATATTAAACAGAAACTCCCTTAGTAAAGAAAATAGAAGTGACAGATTTGGCATTCAACCCATTTTTAGGGTGAAATAACAGCATAAATATCGAGGAATCATAGGATGATGATCAAAACTTACGGAAAAAAAAAAAAAAAAAAAAATTAAGAGCAAACAAGTGGGGCATTGGCCACTCTTGGCAGGTAAATTGGAAGTGGATGTTGAGAGGAAAAAAAAACGAAAAAAAAAAAAAAAGAAGTTTCTTCACAACCTTGATGTCATCATGGACCACCTGATAATCTACTAATACCTATCACAAAAAAATAATAATAATAATAAAAAATAAAAAAATTGCTTAACTCCTGGATTTCAATGACCAATCAAAATCCAAATCCAACCATATGCTGCCACCTGCGCCAAGGCCCAGGGGAAACCAATATGGATTAAATTAACCTCATGACAACCAGGAGTAGTTAATACAAAGAGCTCCCCCCCCCCCCCCCCCCCCCCCCCCCACACACACACACACACACACAACAAATCATATTTAAAATTTCAGAAGGTCAACAAATTCGAAAAAAAATCCCACAACAAAAAAACCTTAGGAATGGAGCAGAAAAACAAAATATAAAAAAAGGATAAATTAGTGTCATACTTGGGAAGCAGCTCGCTGAAAGTCCTTCCTGGTCAACAATCCATTCACTTTCCCATAACTAAAAAGGGCCAAAGAAAATGGCTGCAAACTTCTATGCAGCTGGGCAAAATTTTTGAATTCCTCTAGTGAGATGCGTATGTTACTAAGATGTGACTCTTTGTCTAATTCATCAACCCGATCAAGCAATTTGTTTAAATGCCTCATGTCAGCAGAAGCAACCATTGATAAGGCAAAATCCTTGGCCGATATGGTTCCACGTAATTTGTAGTCATAATGAGCAAACTCCAAATTCAGCATCTGTAAAATAGAAATCAATAATTAAATATGTGATAACTTGCCTCACGACAACATGAAATAAAATAAAATAACAAACTACATACTTGCATGAATTCAATCAATCAAATCTATAATTGTAACCATTGAAGAGGGGGAGGGGTTTAAAAGCTTAAAGAATATATTGAAATTATGCTATCATAGATTTACTATGCAATCCCAGCATTCCACAACAAAGCACGCATTCCAATTATAAAAAAATTTGGAGTGTAAATGACCTTCATATGACAAATAATTAATAAATAAAGAGGGAAGAGATTTACAAAACCATTTGTTCATGATCCAGTTGGAAGCTTAGGAAAGAAAAGGTATGAATGTTATACGAGAAATTTCAGTACTATGATCTCCGTGAAAAGGTCTAACCTAAAAACTTGTTGTTTGGGGGGGGGGGGGGGGGGGGGGGGGGGTTCGTCGGCGGAATACTGTATCTATTATGGTAGTTGTAGCCTTATGACCCAAGGACACAAATAAGAAAACTCGATGTGTAAATTTATTTTGCCTCTTTGCTTTCTATCTGATAGCCTTCTCATAGGAGAAAGGCTGTCTTTTCATGGTGATCCTCTTGGTTTTTCTTTTCTTTTTTATTTGTTTGTTTGTTTGTTTGAGAGGGGGGGGGGGGGGAGTGCGCGTGGGAGGGCGGTGGGATTCCGTGATTGAAAGAACATACCTCAGTATGCAAAGATCTCAAAAAGTGGAAAAAATCTTCGTGTTGGAGGCACTTCTTGCCATCTTTGCCAAAGAAGTATTCCACCAGGCCTCCATTTTCCACAAAACCACCAAATCTGAGGCCAGCTCGAAGTCCATCCCTATGGAAAGCCCCTTGCCTATTATGGGCCCGCATCAAGGCCATCACTTTCTTGAATTCCTCTCTGTTTATCTCTCTATCAAAAAAAGAAAGCAAAGGAGCCAAGTCATACAAGATGAACTGATGCACTAACAATCAGTAAAAATAATTTTAAAAATATATATATATATATATATTAGCCTTCCATAATTAGCAAAAAAATTCCTATCTACTATTTTACTTGAGCATTTAATCTTAAACCTGCATTTAGTGGTTCAACTGTTGACCAAGGAATTAAATGTGTGTGTGTACCCACAAGTTAAGCTGCATGTAGTAAATGCACAAGCTTATCTGTTCTTGTTATGTTGACGCAATAAAAGATAATATTTAATTTCTTTGTTTTTTAATATATGTGGCTATCCTTAGAAGTTATTCTATTCTAAACATGAAAATGAATCAAAATGTGTGATTCATATGTTATAAAATGCATTAGTTCACAAGAGTACCATATTAAATGGAGCACTCAAATGAAGACGATTCCCATATCAGCAAGCAAAGAATTAGCATGTAAGAATATGTTGTGATATATGTCTTGTATCATTTTCATTGTTATTCAATTTGCCAGGCCAAAAACAACAAAAATGAATAAATAAAGGTTCACAATTGAAGTCATCCAAAAAAGGTTCATATTATTCAACAGAATGCCCTGTAAAATAGAAATGATATACAATGGAAAGGGTCTACTTCACACTTTCTGGGCTTACATAAACTAGAATCACATGAGCCATTTGAACCCAAGGCTCGCAAATGATGATTATTCTACTCCCTTCAATAGTGGATGTAAGCAGACCACTAAATCGTGAAAATATTTTCTTCCACTGATGGTAAGATCAAATATATCTTACTGGGTTTGTCTTGCTTAATAAATGCTCCAATCTCTATGGTTAGATCTCAGGCTCTTACATAAAACCTTATTATATTGACAAAAGAAAAGGGGGTGGGGAAAAAAACACACACACACTCTCTCTAAAGGAACTATGAATGTAGGACATGTTGTGCTAATATAGAGTAACAAAGTATTGCTAATCCATCAAGAAGTTTAGAAAGCAAAAACAAGTAAAATAAATTTTCAAAATGGAAAATACTAGGATAACATTTTTTATCATAAATAAAACAATCTATCAACCTAAAAGGACAAAGAATTTATTCCCCCGTGTGCATATGGGAAAATGTAGTGACTAAATCATTTCCAGTTTCTACTCTAGTTTGGGCATCTGCTAAGAAGATGACAAAAATCCCTCAATTGCAGATCTCTTTCGCATTTGACTCATTAATGCTTTAGGTGAGAGGGGCAGCATACTTGCTCTGCTTCACTTGTAGTAGGCTTACATGAATATCAAGGAAACTCAACTCCAGGCTCAAGACAAGTTTTTAGTTTAATAATTTAGTATAGGCTGAGCAGCTTGCAAAATTTCAATGGAAATTACGTCAATTTCAAGAATTAGGTGACGAGTAAATCAATTGTGGTCAAATGAGAGTATAGAAAAGATACCAACATGAAACAAATACACAAACTAAAGAAAACGAGGCCTCAACTGTTAATTCGAGATAAAAAATAAAATGGTTGAACAAATCAAAATCCAAAGGTTGCATTAGATACCTACCCATTATTGTCAATGTCAAACATTTTGAATGCCACGGAGAAGCTTGATTCTGGGATGCTTAGTAGTGTAACAAAAAAGATATACCTGTTACATGAAACCATAAAGAGTTCAATTCTCCATGGGAAAATTTTATCATGCACATGCAGAATATTTATTAAAAGAAAATGCATCTGCATGAATAACATCGTACCAAAACGAAAAAGAAAAAAAATCGTCTTTATACCACAAAATATAACTCACTCTTTGAATTCTATGAGCCCATCATTGTTTGTATCAAAAAGCATAAAAAATTCTGAAGGCTCACAGCGCAGCTCACCAGGACTCCTTTCCCCTCTAAGATATCCCTCTCTTACAAGGTTTGATTCAGATGGAGGAAAAACAGGCACGATGGCCCGCATCAAATCTGCAGGTGTCATAAATACTCCTTCCGAATTTCGAACAGAAGCGAAGTACTCAAAAACCTTCAAGGAAAACATGGTGTAAGACAATGTCAAAAAGAATTGTGATATTCATGAAAATTGATCCCGTACAAATACAATGTTCACTGCACCAGTACAACAAACAGGTTCATTGTCTGCAAGTCTTAAAAATGAATAAAGTTAGGTCAAATAGGACTTACATTAGCAAAGTTCATGAACCAAAACCAGAGTTTGTGATTTTGTTTGGATTTGTATCCTACTTTAAAAAAAGTTAAAGCTAGTTAATGCCAAGTTAGCTACCTCTTGATCGAGGTTAAAGTATAATCTACAACACCGAGGGTATAAAGGTAAATTGACAATTATATGCAATCACCAAAATTAGGGTTCACGCATTAGGCCTTTGAGATTTCATGATTTGATTTTGAAAATCCTAATTTATATGCATTAAAAGAGTTCTGGAAACTACCATTTCTCAAAACAATAAAGTATAGGATTCCCAAGTACTTCAACCAATTAGAGTATCGATCATGTCTCTCAATCGATTGAGTTGTTCAAGAAAACAAATTTTTTTTTTCAGCTTAAACACTATAAAGCTTATTCTAGCTATAACTCTTATTTGCCTATAAATACAATATCACAGGGCAAACCTTAACACATGCACACTGGAAAATACAGAAAGACTTGTATGTTTGAGAGCTTTTGAACAAAATTGAGTGCATTCAAATTTTCCTTTTAGCATTAGGTGAGTGTTATATGAGCATGCTGACATCATATTTGTTGCAGAGCTGATTGAAAGACCTTAGAACCAATGATCATTCAATCAAACTAAGATTGGAGTAGATGGTCATTGGAGATCAAACCACAGATAGGAGAAGCAAATCGTGTGAGGAATGGGTCTGTTAACGAGTGGATTGTGTGGCTGGAGACTGGAGGGGAGAGTTTGTAAATCAGACTTTCTGAAGAAGTAACTTGGCATTCTAGGGCTTCAAAACTGTTAACCTAATGCAAATCTCTTGCTCATTGCAGATTTGATTTTGCCTGAACTAGGTCTAGTGGTTTTCCACATAAAAAAATCTTGGTGTCCTTTCTTCACGCCTTTGAGTGCTTTAATTTATTATTTGCTCAATTGGTATGTTGATTTGCATGATGTAGTGATTGGATGTCTTTATTTAGTTTTTAGTTTGAATTTGAAAATTCGGCAATCTCTTTAAGATTTAAAAAGTTGATTAAATTTGTTAAGGTTACCAACAAGACCAATTCACCCTCCCTCTAGGTCTAGATCATGGATCTTGCACTACCTCTCTTTCAGATCCTAGGGTTCCTTCTGGTCCTTACCCCATCACATACCAAAACCTTTACGGTCTGGGTGATAGTGACAATCCTAAGTAAGATAATTTTATCATCAAATTTGGTTGTTGATATTGTGCAAGAGTTGGAGGAGCAAGATATGGATATGGCCATCTGGCCAACATTATACATGCAACTTAGCTCATCAAGCATGCACAACTCATCATCACAAGTACGTATACAACTACCAAAAGCTGCAATAACAACAATCACTGTGACATTGTTCCAACTATCATAATAGAAGATAAAGTGAAATAGGATAATGGTGTCGCTAATGTCACCAATTGCACCAGAAAATGGTCAAAAGGGAGATGGAAATATTAACTACCAGAATAAGTAATTACGTATCACAAAACGCTACATGAACTGTACCTCCTCTTTTAGGTTATTTGGAATGTTAGAAACCACTTCACAAACTCTTTGAAACTCTACGCAACCAGTAGAAAGTGCATACAGGACTTTAAAAAATCAGTAGCGACAACCAATAAGTCCCAGCATGCCTAGAAACCAAGTGCAAATCGAACATATAAATATTGCATTTCAATGCTAAGCATATTCCGGTGTTGGAATAGTATATCCAAATGTAAGATTAGAAAGTGTATTACATTGTTACTCATGCCAAACAGTAAAGCCATATATATTTCATCCAAGCACCAAATAGGAACAACAGCTGTGCAAAAATATCAAAGCAACTCTTTTTTGCATATGGATTAGATTCGTTTTTCTTTTTTTCTTTTTTCGGTTAAAAAAGTACTCACACACACATTGCCCACAACGGAGCTCGAACCACTCCCCTCCCCCCTCTGGGGGAAGGGAGGTTATACCATTGGCCTAATGGCCCATTGGTATACAGATTATCATATTTATACTCAGTTTTACTTGCACACACAAACACACACATATACAAACCCTGTGATATTGTGGCCCGAATTTGGTGCCGGGTTATGACCCGATGACCCGTTGGATTAGCTTTGCGTGGGCCCAAGCCCTGACCCATTTTTTGCTCATAGGTCATGGACCCTAATTAGTCTCTTGTAGCCCGATATATAAGGGTACTTAAGGTTTGGAGTGGTGGACAAGAGAGACTCTGATATTCGTACAGAAACAGAGTGAGGGGCTGAAAACTTGTAAGTTCTGATTTTACACATAGTGAAAACCTTCTTCTTCTTCTTCTTTTTTTTTTCATAATTACATAGTGAAAACTTTCGCCAGATCCCAACCATGGATGTAACTTGTTGCCTAACCACGTATAAATCTTTGTGTGGCGTGTTTATTTTTCTGTCATGATTCTTGGTTCAACTTGGGTTTGTTGCGTTTGTCATAACAAACTGGTATCAGAGCTTTCGGTTCAAAGCAAGGATGTCGTCCAAGTTTCTGGAAATCGAGAAGTTTAATGGCAGAAACAATTTCAACTTGTGACGAGTTAGGATGCAGGCTTTGTTGGTTCAACAAGGGTTATCCAAGGCGCTGAAGGGGAAGGATGCACTGCCAAAAAAGTTCAATGACAAAGATGAGGTTATTAAAAAAGGCACACAGTACAATTTTGTTGTGCTTGAGTAACGAGGTTCTGCGAGAAGTTGCTGGAGAGATTACGACGGATGGGCTGTGGCAGAAGTTGGAGTCCCGGTATATGACGAAACCTCTTACGAATCGCTTGTATCTAAAGAAGCAGTTGTTCACTCTTCAGATACACGAAGGGGTTCGTCTCTAAAAGACCATCTTGACGAGGTAAATAGTATCATCATGGACTTGAATAATATTAATGTCAAGATAGAGGATGAAGATCAGGCTATTATTCGGTTGTGTTCTCAACCACCCTCGTATGAGAACTTTGTCGATACAATGATGTATGGCAGAACTGCTTTGTTCATGGAAGACGTGAAGGCAACTCTGAATTCGAAGGAGTTGCAGATAGTTCGGCAAAGGGGTTATTTGTTATAGGGAGAACAAATCAGAAGGCAGGGTCTAGCAACAAAGGTCGTTCTAAGTCTAAGAACAAAATGAAGGTGTTGAGATGTTTCATCTGTCACAAGGAAGGGCACATCAAAAAAGATTGTCTACAGCGTAAAATGGGAAAGGTAAAATCCTCTCAAGTTGAAAGTGGGGTTGTTGCAGAGGGTATTGATTCAGATGGTGGTAATGTTCTCACAATTTCAGCTGGCAGCTCTTGCGATGAGTGGATTCTTGATTCGGGTTGCTCATTTCATGCTTGTCCAAACAGGGAATGGTTTACCTCTTATTGATCTATTGATGGAGGGGAAGTTCTAATAGGGAATGATGCAGCGTGCAAGGTTGTAGGTATTGGTACAGTTTGAATCAAGATGTATGATGGCATAGTGAGGACACTGATTGATGTCAGGCATGTACCAGAACTGAGAAAGAAGAATTTGATTTCCCTGGGCACGCTAGATTCCATCGGGTGCACTTATTAGGCTGGAGGTGGAGTTATTCGGGTTTCCAAGGCTGCTCTTGTGGTGATGAAGGGACTGAAGAAGCATGGTTTATATGCTCTAACACAATCACGAGTTCAGTTGTTGTATCATCCTCGAATCCGGATTCAGATACTACCAGATTGTGGCATATGCGGCTTGGGCATATAAGTGAGAGGGGGATGGATGTTCTGAGTAAGCAGGGTTTGCTTGGTGGTCAAAAAACTGGGAAGCTGGATTTCTGTGAGCATTACGTCTTCAGGAATCAGTGCAAAGTGAAATTCAGTACAGGAATTCACAGGACCAAGGGTACAGTGGATTATATTCATTCTGATCTTTGGGGTCCCTCTCAGGTTACTTCACATGGTGGTGCTAGATATATGATGACGTTGATTGATGACTTTTCTCGAAAAGTTTGGATTTATATTCTAAAGCACAAGAATGAGGCTTTTGTTACATTCAAGCAATGGAAGACCTTGATTGAGAAGAAGACAGGAAAACAGGTCAAGCGCTTAAGGACAGATAATGGCTTGGAATTTTGTGATGAGAATTTAACGAGTTCTACAAGACTCACGGGATTGTGAGACGCCACACAGTGAGGAAGACTCCGCAGCAGAATGGAGTTACAGAACGGATGAACAAAACGCTATTGGAGAGGGCATGGTGTATGTTGTTCAATGCAGGGTTAGACAAAGCGTTTTGGGCTGAAACTGTTTCTATAACTAGTTACTTGGTGAACCAGTCTCCATTGACTGCTATCGACTGTAAGACTCCAAAGGAGGTATGGTCTGGTTCTCCTGCTAGTTACAGTAATCTAAGAATATTTGGGTGTCCACCGTTTGCTCATGTGAATGAGGGGAAGCTTGAACCAAGGGCTAAGAAATGCATATTTCTTGGTTATCAGCCTGGGGTCAAAGGATACAGATTATGGTGCCCAGAGGCTTCGAGAAAGAAGATACTTATTAACAGGGATGTGACCTTTCATGAGTCTGCGATGCTTACTCCACAGAAGAAGGTAGTTGATTCAGGGAAAGCTCAGGGTGTCAATGAGCAAATGGAACATGTAGAGGTTCAGTTAGAGGATAGTTATGTTCGTTCGACTCACAAGCAATTGCAGTTTCGGGCTGAGGGAGATGCACAATTGCAACAGTATAGTGTGGCTAGAGATAGTCCTAGGAGGGATATTAGGCCACCTGAGAAGTATGGGTTTTCACATGCTAATTCAGTTGTTTAAGCACTTAGTGTGGCAGAGGATATTGATGAGCCGTGTACTTATCAGGAGGCCATCACAGGTGGAGAGTCAGCACAGTAGTCTGTTGCCATGAGTGAGGAGATTGAGTCCCTTCATAAGAACCAGACTTGGAAACTAGTTAAGAAGCCTAAGGCTAGAAAATTATGGGTTGCAAATGGGTCTTCAAGAAGAAAGAAGGAATTTCAAGGGTGGAAGAAGTGAGGTACAAGGCACGCTTGGTGGCGAAGGGCTATACACAAAGAGAAGGGGTGGACTTCAATGAAGTGTTTTATCCTGTGGTGAAACATAGCTCAATCCGGGTGTTACTTGCTATGGCTGCTTTGCATGACTTGGAGCTTGAGCAGCTTGATGTCAAGACTGCTTTCTTGCATGGTGAGTTGGAAGAGCAGATTTATATGCATCAACCTGAGGGGTTTGAGATTCTGGGAAAGGAAGATCATGTTTGCCTACTGAAGAAGTCCTTGTATGGGCTGAAGCAATCTCCTAAAAAGTGGTACAAACAATTTGACACATTTATGGTTGGGAATGGATACTGTAGGAGTAAGTTTGACAGTTGTGTGTATCACATGAAGCTCTCAGATGGTTCGTATTTGTACTTGTTGCTGTATGTTGATGACATGTTGATAGATTGCAAGAACATGTCGGAAATCAACATGTTGAAGGCTCAACTTAGCGGTGAATTTGAGATGAAGGATCTTGGTGTTGTAAAGAGGATATTGGGAATGAAAATTCACAGGGACAGGGGAGTGGGCAGATTGTATTTGTCACAGAAGAAATACATTGAGAAGGCGCTAGAACGCTTCGGTATGCAGGCATCAAAACCTGTGAATGCTCCATTGGCTGCCCACTTTAGACTTTCAACACGATTGTCACCACGGACCGAGGAGGAGGTGGAGCACGTCTCGTGTTCCTTGTGCTAATGCAGTTGGTAGCCTTATGTATGCTATGGTGTGCACCGGGCCAGACATTTCACATACAGTTAGTGTAGTGAGCAAATACATGGTTAGACCTGGGAAGGTCCATTGGCAGGCTGTAAAGTGGATATTACGATACTTACGAGGCACTGCAGATGATGGGTTAGTGTATGACAGAGGCAACGACATGTGTAGGAGTATTGTTGGATATGTTGATTCGGATTATGCTGGAAATCTTGATAGGAAGAGGTCCTTGACAGGGTATGTCTTCACTCTTTGTGGGAGTGTGATCAGTTGGAAGGCGACTTTGTAGCCCGTAGTTGCGTTGTCTACTACTGAGGCTCATGACAGCTACAGAGGCAGTGAAGGAAGCTAGATGGTTAAGAGGCTTGGTTGGTGATTTGGGCTTACAGCAGGATGATTTGATTGTGTTTTGCGACAACCAGAGTGCCATACATTTGATTAAAAATCAAATGTTCCATGAGAGGACCAAGCACATTGATGTCAGGTTTCACTTCATCAAAGATGTGGTTGCACAGGGTGCTATTGCAGCGAGGTAGATTGGGACAGCAGAAAATCCGGCAGATATAATGACTAAGGTCATTCCTACACTCAAGTCCAGACATTGTCTGGACTTGATTGGTACTTGCAGTTGCTGAGGCCCTTGGGGGCATGTGGAGGCGGCGAAAGGAGTAGCTAGAGATTATGGAGCTTGGCAGCATAATTCGAGTCAAGGTGAAAATTTGTGATATTGTGGCCCGAATTTGGTGTCGGGTCACAACGCGACCCGCTTATGACCCGACAACCCATTGAAAACATTTTAACCCCTTTTTTGCTCATAGGTCGTGGCCCCCAATTAGTCTCTTGTAACCTGATATATAAAGGCGCTTAGGGTTTGGAGTGGTGGACAAGAGAAACTCTAATATTCGTACAGAAATAGAGTGAGGGGCTGAAAACTTATAATCTCCGATTTTACACTATTGAAGGATTTATATATTTAAGTTACACCCACTCTAACAGTTAAGTTTTTGGAGTAGATGGTTGTTAACATGGTATCAGAGCCAAAGGTCTTGAGTTCATACCTCACCATCACCCTAATTAAAAAATTGAAAATCACATGTTGGACCAAAAGAAGGCCACACGTGAGGGGGCGTATTGAAGGATTTATATATTTAAGTTACACCCACTCTAATCGCTTAAGTTTTTGGAGTAGATGGTTGTTAACATACACATAGTGAAAACTTTCAGCGAATCCCAACCGTGGACTTAGGCTGTTGCCGAACCACGTATAAATCTATGTATTCTTTGTGTGGCGTGTTTACTTTTCTGTCATGATTCTTTGTTCAACTTGGGTTCGTTGCATTTGTCATAACAAAGCCACCCACTTTTCCTTTTTTTCAATTCCTTCATTATTGTTGTTTGTCTTCGTTTTAGTATTCTTCTCTTGCTCCCTCGTCAATCTTTTTCAAATTCAAAGTTTCTAAGATTTTGAATTATAAAATGGAAAAAGAACTTCTTTGATGCAAAATTTACAGGAGAAAACAAGAACATGTAAACTGAAAGGAGGAGAACAGGCATAAAAAAGCCCTTTTCCTTGGTTCCTCAAGCCTTGAGCAATGCAAATGTTGAAAATGCATGCCTAATGCTACTAGAAATGAACAGAAATCGAGGCTAAGGGCAAACAACACAAAAGTCCCAGTTAAACCTTATAAGTTAAACAAAAGCTTACACATATTTTCCTCTTTTTAGGATGTTTTAAACACTAGACATATGTGAAGGTAAGAGATATCTAGATTTTTTAGTCTAGTCTAGTTTTCTTGTTTTGAAAATGATCAATATAATCAAGCACCAGGCCACTAATGTTATATAATTGGTAAATGCAGATAAACAATTTCGCGATACAGTTAATAGTATAGAAAGGGCTAGCCTAGTGAGCGTAGCTCCCACCATTGTGGGGTCTGGGGAGGGTCAGATGTACACAACCTTACCTCCGCATAGAAAAATTATTTCCAGTTTTGAACTCATGATCTCACCAGGTCACACAATGGATGAACCTTAACAGTAGGGAGTACAAATTAAATGTCAAAATCCAAACCAACTATAAGTATAGGTACTTATCCAACAGATTTCAATATAAAAAGTCAATAGTCTCCTCATGAAAGTGCTTCATTGGTTCATTCAAATAACAATATTTGTAGTAGTAATAATAATAATTTCTTCATTCTGATGTTACTAGAATCCAAGGTACCAAGTTGTAATAAAAGGTAAAGGGAAAATATAAATTACATTAATTTAAAAATAAAAAATAAAAAAAAAAACTGTAAAAGTAAGGCATCAGATGTCTAAGACCTTTATATGAATACCTTTTCAGGAGGACTACGCATCCTTATGCGTTTCTCATAATTAAAGAATATCTTTCTCCGATATTCATCTGCAATTACAATAAAGACCAGTTACATGGTGTCATGAAGAATCTAACGGGACCAAAATTACTTATAAAAACCAGTTATACTGTCTGGCAATGCAATATAGTTTAATTTTTGCATTACTTATCAAAACAAAAAACTAAAAGGCATTTGCATTACTTATAAAAAAAAATAAAAAAATGACCTGAATTTACTATAAATTTAAGCTAACAAAACAAAGGGTGTGTTTGGTAGGGTTGATTTGGAGGGATAAGGAGAGAAAAGAAAAGAGAGGATAGTGTAAGTTTGTGTTTGGGTAAGTTAAGTGGAGGGATAGTTATCCCTCCTTATCTCTTATTTGCTTTCTCTTCAATTTTGAGAAGATAGGGAGAGAAAGCATAGTGATTTTAAGTAGTATTATGATAATACCAAAATTAGCCTCCACAAATCAATATACAGATTTATTATTCCATTCAAGTCCCATGGTTATGAAAGTGTAAAAAAGTAATTTGTTTACTATCCTTTCTTTTTTTTTTTTCTCTCATCTATCTTATCCAAACAAAAATAACTATCATTTCTTTTTTTTTCTCCCCTATCTATCCAAACACTAATAGAAATTATTACTATCATTTCTTTTCTTTTCTTTTCTCTCATGACTAATACTATCCTTTCTTTTCTTTTCTGCCCTGTCTACCCAAACACACCCAAAGTGATTCTTAGGAGAACAAAAAACATCCAAATAACTTGGTTGACAAAAAAAGAATATATAGCTAATAGTGACAAGTTGAAAACATTAATAGAAATTCTACTTTCCGTCATATATAGCTAAATAGAAAGATATTTACAGACATTAATTTTCTGGTAAACATGCTAGAACCACCACCAAAGAACTGAACAAAACCAGGAAGATTATATATATATGTGTGTGTGTGTGTGTGTGTGTGTGTGTGTGTGTGTTTATTTGAACAAGAAGTTTGTTGGCCTCGCCCTAAATAAAAAACAAAAGATTCGGTCTCATGCCAGTGTAGTGTGGGTCAGTGATGATTTTCCAGCTTCAGAAAATGGTCTATTCTGTGATTTTGAGAAAAGCACAAGATGTGTAGATTCCAGTGAGAAGAAAGGAACTGTCAGCAATATTCACATTTAAACAATTAAAGTCATTATATTGATACGAAGCATTTTGAGAGGGCTCAAGTCTATTGCCAAATTTAGAAATTTGGTCCAATTTTCTTTGACTCCATCAGTTTCCTAGTCCTTATTTTTTGTGGAATTAGCCCTCCCTTGATCATCTTTTACATCACGATCTTCCATCAGTACTGTGCACAAGGTCAGGATGAGGACCTTGATCAAAGAGAAGAACACATTCACCAAGACCATGGAAAACAAACACGAACCAAGTAAACAGCCTGAGCCTGTGTTGAAGTGCCTCCAAGATAACCCTAAGCCAAAAGAACAAGAACCGAAGTGACTTGGCAGTTTGCACCAGCAGGGCCTCCACCATGACATGTTTTTATCTGTAAGAGCCTTTCTCAAAAAGATAAAGAGGCTTCAGAAGACTTTTGAATCAATAGACATTTTCGAATTGACTTACAAGGAATTGAATTCGTCAAGACATATACAGCATCCAACATGGCTCCAACTATTGTACTGATTTAGATACATGCACGTGGATTGCAGCAATCTGAACAAAGCTTGCCTAAAAGATTATTTTATACTGCTACACATTAACACAATGAACACCACACGTGGTTGTAGACAGTAAAATTTTAATGGACTTTTGTTTTGACAAATTTGCCCATCAAATATGTGTCTCATGTTTAATTAAATTATTTAATTGGCCCAAAATTGGTCCACTTAAATTATTTAATTAGCCCAGCCCAGATGATTAAACAAAAAGTTAATTATTCCTAATAAAATATATTTGGAATAATTATTTTTATGGATAATTATCATAATATAACTAGTCCAGCCCAGTTATGATTTTGTCCTTATCAGGAGAGAACACATGTCATCATCCTATTAATCCAAGAAGCCTATAAATAAAGGCATGGAGGAAGGAGAAAGGGTCAGAAATCCAGAGGGGACACAAATTGAGAATTCTAGAAATCCAAAATTCCAGAGAGAAATACAGAAACTCTGCCAATACTCACCCCCAACATCCAAACCTAAAGGCGAAGAGCAACAAGCACATCAAATCGTGTTGTTCTTCATCAAAATTCCACGGTGATCAACAACAAACACATCAAATCGTGTCGTTCTTCATTAACATTCAAAGGTGATCAACTACAAGCAAATCAAATCGTGCCTTCTTCATCAACATTCCACGGTGATTAACAACAAGCACAACCAAAGCTGTGTCGTTCTTTAACAAATTCAACAAATTCTCTGAAGGTGAAGAACAACAAGCACATCCAATCCAAAGTCGTGCCCTTTTTCCTCAAATTCAACAAATTAAAACAAGCACATCAAAATCGTGTCATTCTTTCCTTGCAATTCAACACATTTGAAGAATCACAATTCGAGATCAAGCTTCGTCAGCCCTCGATCAGAAATCATCAGCGGTCTTCCTCAACTACAAATACTTGAAGAAGATTGTTAACAGCTCGATTCAAGATCAAGCTCCAACAGTCCTTGAATCCAACCAACAAAGGAGATCGAATCAGAGGATATTTTCTTTATTTTGAAAAGAATATCTAAGAGAATTGTACTCCAATTTTCCCTAATTAATAAATTCTATTTTGCTCCCTATTTCGTTCTTTAATTTGCAGATACGAAATTTGTGTGTACAGTGGTCATCAAGTCACATACAAATTTAGTGGATATAAAGACGGCCCTAATGGTCACAAAGGAGACCGCATTTCAACCTCCTATGGGTAATGTCTACTACTAACATCATTATTAATCTCTCTGTATTTTGTACAATTGATCCTAAATCTCGCAAAGGATTATTTTGAGTAATATTTTGGTCTTGATTGTTATTGCAATATCATCATTTTCCATATCATTATCAAATTTACATTCACACATTTTGTTTTAGTTCTACTAATTTTTAAAAAAATTTACTCTAATGCAATTCTCCAATCTTCTGACTCTGTTACTAAGGTTTCCTATTAGCCACTAGCACAATGTCATCAACAAATAAAATGTACCATGGAATGTCTCATTGTAAGTCATTAGTTATTTCATCCAAGATTATAGTGAATAAATATGGATTTAGCACTAAGCCTTGGTGTACTCCTACTTTTATTATGAAATTATGGTCTCCCCGCATGTAGTATGAACTCTAGTTTTTGTATCCTAATACATATCCTGAATAGGTTTTGTGGATCTTATAAGAATAAACTTATAAACTTTAGAGTGTACAATTTATTCAAATGTGCAGGATGTATCTATCTATGTACCATTATCCAACTTGTTTACACACATATAACTGGCATCTCCATATATAAGATTTGCGATACAAATTACAACATGGCCACTTCGACACACACTCGTACCCAACAAACTCAATTGAGTCCATGTAATGTAGTTGTTTAACATCAGGATCAAAGCTAGTAGATTAAAGAAGTAATTAGATTGTGTGAAAACTATTTATAGTGGTGATTACTCATTCATAGTGTATCCTACCACACAAATATGTTTGTGTTATGTTACATTACACATCGAAGAGATTTGCGGGCTATTTCTTTTAGTGAAACATATGGGGTATATGGTAGTAGCACATACAGTTGGAAATAAGGCGCAGTGGATTACCTCCATTTCAAGCATAAAAGTGGGGAGGATTAGTCCCTGCTTCCTTAATACTCACTAATTTCCCAATAAGAACCAAGAGAAAAGCAAAAGAACCACACTTCTATCACAAGTATACAACATTGCAGCGTGTGTTGACTACAAGTTCACCAAGTTAAGTATTCACTAGTCACAAAATCATTCGTTAGTTCTATTATTACGTTCATTTCTTTCTCTTCTTCTCTCTTTAATCTGCCCCACTCTCATCTCACCCAACTTACCAACGTCTTTCGCTACAAGTATATCAATCACGGATGAAAATAAATGAAAACTTAAAGCATATTTATTAACTTCAATTTATATTTAATATTGTTTCAAAGGATTGTTCCCTTGAACTTTCATCCAAACAAAAACACGAGTTATAAGTTTATAAGTATTTAAATACAATTTCAAAATCACACGACTACTGTGCCTCAAATTAAATTTTGTTAAGCCTATGATAACAGTATAACACATTACTTCTTCAACAATTTACTGCATTCTATTAAGAAGCCATCATGTCATATACTCCCTCTGTCCCAAAATAGTTGGGTGCTTTGGGAACTGTAACTCGACTCAATTGTGAGTCACAGTACCCAACTATTTTGGGACGGAGGGAGTACTTCATATATACCCCGTGTTCATGACACCACTCCCACTCTCAATCTCAAATCAACTGATCAAATTAAATTTTGTTAAACCTATGATAACACATTACTTTTTCGACAACTTCGCTGCATTCTCTTAAGATGCCATCATGTCATATACTTCATGTATACTTTGTGTTGATGAAACCACTCCCACTCTCAACCTCAAATCAACTGATCAAATTTTTTTCTAGCACTACAGATACATAAGTATGTGCATACACTACATGGACACAATATCATTCTGGTTAGTGGATAAAATGCACATTAATGCCCCAATTATTAGCTAAATTTCTTTAACACTACACATATCCAAGTATGCACAGGCACAATATATACACAGTATCATTCTGGTTAGTGGATACAATGCACATTAATTCCCAATTATTAGCAAAATAATGATGAGGAAAGATACCTCCAAAGAGAAATTTAGGGTTTGGATCCTCCATTGCAATATCTGATGTTACAGCCGTTGACCAGTCAGCAAAAGAGTATAAAGAATTCTTTAGAGAAGTCGAATCGTAGGGAGAGGAACAGTATACGAGCAATCCAATGCTCGAACCAACACCAATCCCCGAGACCCATTTCAGGAAAGATCTGAAACTACTAGAAGTTTTCCGGAAATTGGAATCACAGTGAGAGAGAATGGAAGAAGAAGATGATGGGGCAGAGAATGGGCGGGTGTGGAGCCGTTGGATTATGGGTAGTGGATTGATGGATGGTGAGGATCGTTTCAGGGTTCTACAGTAAGACATGGCAAAGATGTAGTCAACAGAAGCGAGAGTTACAGTACAGAGAAAAGAGTTTTGGTGGAGAAGACAATAAAGGCTGAGTCGTTGAGAATAAATACTACTAGCACTTTTTTACCCAAATCAGAGTCGGATTAAACTTTTGAATTAATGACCGCTACATGTCAAATGTCTGGCTTCGTTTGGATACGTGAGACATAAAAGAGAGGAAGGAAAGGCTGATATCAGCCGCAAAATGGCCCCATCCTCATGGGATAAGTTGATGTGTTGGGATTCAATCTCCATTTCTGTCTCAAAGGCTACGTTTATAGATATCCCTTTTGTTATGTAGTTTTGATCCCATTCTCATGAAATAAGTTGGTGTGTTGGGATTCAATCCTCATTTCTGTCTCAAAGGCTCTATTTGTATAAGTCTTTTTTGTTTTGTTGTTTTGTTTATATGGTTGCTTCTAATGAAAATAAAAAAAAATAAAAATAAAGAGATGATATCAGCCGCAAGATAAAAGAAAAGGAAAGAAAATAATAGCAATAATTTACACTTATGTTTGAATAGATACGAGTTAAAAGAAAGAAAATGTTATTATTATTGTTTGAATAAGGGAAAAGAAAAGAAATGATATCAATTGAATTAGTCAAAAAAGTATAAAACTCTCCTCAATTATCAAAAAACAGCATTTTATTTTCTGGACTACAAAATTGAACATCATTTCTTGTCACCGTCATTGTACATTTACAAAAATGCCCATTATAATTAACATTTAAAAAAAGACAAATAAATTTAAATTTGAGAAATACCATCAATACCCTCATGCCATATACATCTTATATTGGTGCTTTTATTAACTTGTATTGAAGATGTGTCGAACCAAAACTCAAGCACCAATAGACATTTGCCAGCACATCACTTTCCAATTGCCCCACCTCATTTTATTACACACTTGTCCCACCCTACCAAAATCAATAAGTGAGTGAAACCATCAACACCGGTGACCAAAACAAGATATATATACCCATATATATAAATATATATATATATACACACAATTTCATTTTATTATTCTTATTTTATATATTTATTACTGTATTGCTTATTTCCATAAGTAATACCCATATATATAAATATATATACATAATCTCATTTTATTTTTCTTATTTTATATATTTATTACTGTATTACACCATCCTGCATCCCCGCACTGTGACCTAAATGTCACACCCCGCTTATGGAGGTTAGGCCACGCAGGTAACACGCAGACGCTGAGTAGGAAGCTGCATGGCGAGTGGAGTTTTTAGAGTCTTTCGGAATTGTCTAGAGTTGTGTAAAAGATTCTATATATGTATAGAAATGTGTAATATATTCTAGAGTTTTCCGGAATTGTGTGGAATAGTATGGAGAGTTCTAGAATGTTGTAGATACTTGTAGATAAGTATATAAGTGTGAAGAAGGTGTGAGAAGATTCTAGAGAATCGATATCCACCATCGGTTAGAATGCATCCTAACCGTCCATTAGGGATGGGGATGCCTAAAAATAGGAGTAAGACTTCATTTTGTAGACAACAAGTCCTAGAGTGAGTCTTGAGAGCCTTATAAAGAGTTTGAGTGCTAGCCTTGTACAAAGCATTCTTTGAAGTAATAGAAGTGTTCTTTCCTTACCAACTTAAGTGTCTTAGTGTGTGTGAGTGACGAGTGTGCAAGCCAAGTAAGGAGAGGGCGAGGGCCACTACAACATTAGTAAGCGCACAAGGGGAGTGCGTTGGCGAAGGTGGGCACGGGAGTTAGGCTGACCAAGTACTTGCGAGAGTAGAAGCAACGTCTTGGTGCCGCACCAGAGTAGCTAGAATGGTGTTGAAACTCTAAGCCCGTGATAGTTAGTATCAGAGCAAGGTTCATCAAGGGAGCTTTTATGGAATAGACATGGCTAGCGTAGAAGATCACCAAGTCCACGTCTTGGAACAGAGCTTGGAGGAGAAACTCATCACGCACGTGGTTTACACGGAGACCAAGTTCACCAGGCTCAAAAGAAAGATAGCGGAGCTCTACGAGCTGATTGACGGTATCGCCAATAAGGCACGAGATAAGGAAAGGGACTTGTATGATCGAGTAGACGACTTGCGCGTAGAGATTGCAGAGTGCAAGAAGGAGTTTTCCCAGGCGCGTGAGGTCGTGGTAAAGCCAAGGAAGAAAAAGGCATCAGAGCCCAAGGAGTACGATGGGGTAAGGAATGCGCGCCAGATTGACAACTTCTTCTGGCACATAGAACAGTACTTTGAGTGCATGGAGATCGAGGATGATGAGGAGAAGGTGCAGACAAGCAACATGTACCTCACGGACACTGTCACTCTATGGTGGAGGCAGCGCTTCACCGGCAAGGGCGCAAGAGCGGTTGACACATGGGAGGAGTTCAAGAGGCAGTTCTACCCTGAGTGCGTTGAGGACCTTGCCATGATCAACATAAGGCGCCTGAAACAAAAGGGCAGCATAAGAGAGTATGTGAAGGAGTACTCCAACTTCATGTTGGAAATCCCAGAGATGCCGGAGCGACAATGCGTGTGTTTATTCATAGATGGGCTGCAGTCTTGGGTGGCCACGGAGCTTAGGAGGAGGCAGCTTAGAGACTTGGCATCCGCAATGACTATAGCGAAGCTCCTTGAAGACTTTAGATGCAATGACAAAAGGGCCACGTCTCCCAGGAAGGACCACGGCAAAGATGGGGGAGACCGACGCTTCAAGAAAGGGGGCTCGCCCAAGTCTAGCGATGATGAGCACAGCGACGAAGAGAAACGCCCGCACCATGACAAGGGCAAGGACTATGGAGAGAGGTCCAAGCCTAGTGGCAAAGGGGAGTGCCGCGACAAGGGCAAGTGGGAGTCGCCGAAGTGCTGCTTTGAGGAATATTCCATAAATTATGCAGTATTATTGACAGTAGATTCTGATGGTTTTGTTGTGTTTGGAGGTGTTTTGCCTAATCAGATAGAAAACTCATATAACAATGTTGGATCCTAGGATTATTAAAAGATATTCCAAAGGCAATAGTTTGTGTTTTTTTTACTTGGTTGGATAGTAATAAAATAAATTGTTTTCACTAGTATATTCATTAATATTGATTTCCTTTTCAATTCTCAAATGGAAAAAATACAGAACATTCCGAAGTAATACTTCTCTCATTACTTATTTTTTTTCCTCTTACTCTTCTTTCATAATAGAAAAAATATGTGTTCATCCATAACTTTCTTTTCTATTCCTCCCCTTCACCATACAAACTTTCAACTTAAGAAAAACAAACAAGACATTCGAAAACATCTTTTTCTCTTGTTCTCCCACTCGAATAATCCTATTTTGCAGGAAAGAGTTCCAATCCCTGACTCACAATCTAAGTTCGCAGCGCGACCACCTCCCTCTCTTTTGTTTTGCCAAATAAAAGGTTAGTACAGTTATGTACATTTATATCGGCCCTCTTTTCATCGAGATCCGATACGAGACAAAACCACTCTAACATGCTCTCATCCAAACTCATAACGCTCTTGTGGGCGCAAATCTGACTCAGATACCAATTATAACAAATCACTCCCATTACACCTGTCCTCGATATAGTTGACCCTATAATGAATTAATATATTTTTAAAAATGACTTGAGGATGGTCATTCCATTCCACAATTAAACTTATACGAAATAACTATTTTATTTCCAAGTAAATTTTTTAAAAAATTAAAGCTCCCAAAATATCTTATGTTCCAAATAAAAAAACCACCACCGTCATCACCATTGCCTTCCACCACCACCGCCTTTCCACTTTCCATCACAACCACCATCATCTTTCACTACCGCCACCTCCATTACCTTCCACCACCGTCATTGCCACTGCCGCCTCCACTACCTTCTACCATCGCCGCCACTATCACTGCTACTGCCTTCCACCACCACCACATTCGACCATTGCCACCTCCATTACCTTCCATCACCGCCACTGTCCCCACCACCACCACTGTAGCCGCCTTCCACCACCACCTTCCTCGGCTTTCCACCACCACACCACTACCTTCTACCACCACCTCCACTACCTTTCACACCCACTACCACCACCACCACACCACTGCCTTCTACCACCACCTCCACTACCTTTCACACCCACTACCACCTCCACTGTCTTCTGCACTTTCCACCGCAGCCACCACACCACACCACTATAACCATTGAATCTACGCCACTACTGCCTTCCATTCCCACCAAAATTTAGGCCATTACTTATTTCTCATTTTCCTTGTATACATCATGTAACAACCAAAAAATACCAGAAGTATTAAAATTAATTAAAAATCCTACCTTACCCTTTTGGATTAAATGCTTTATACAAAATTTCAATCCTAAGCTTACTTATCAACATTAAAATTTCGCATTTAAGTACATTTTATCTTTGTTTAACTTCAAAATATTATTTAATTTTAGTCCAGTAATAATAATATATTTATACTGCAGCTTCAGCTCCAACGAATTTGGATTCCTCGTCAAGGTAAAAAAGTAAAAAAATTATAATAGTTCTGAAGTCCGAATGTTAATTTAATTCAATTCCATAAGACTCCAAAGTCATACCTGCACGAATTTTTAAAAAAATCAGCTATAGCTCTAAAAATAGTAAATAAACAAAATAAAATAAAAAAGGGAAGAAATAATACCTCATACGAAAGGCTAGGCAACAAATACACGCCGTTCCACAAACACCCCCACGTAGTTAACGGAAAACGTTACAACGTAACTTGACGGCACACACTAACGGATAACCCAACACAACCGACGAATGAAACGTGTAAAGTCGTGTCACTTCAGATTGCACATCTCAATCAAATCTTGAATTAATCACCACCTTAGTTAAATCTTGATCTTGAATATTGATTTCAGTTTTTTAAAAATTAGATTGAATGAATGTGAAATGGTCCAAAATTGTCCTTCAATTGCAATCAATATTGCTTAGAATCATATGTACAAGGGGGGATAAGGGTTTTGAGTGGCTGTGATACAAAAACTGCAACCAAACTCGCCGGAAACTGACATCTTCGCCGGGATCTGACTTCTTCCTCCGCCGCAAGCTCTATAAGAAAAACGTTAATAAAAGGACCAACCTGTGAAGAGACAAAAATCAAAGATCGTCGGCTTTCGACATGATCGAAAGCCGACTCGGCCTCGGCTGGAACGCCGCCCTACGCCTCTGCTGATGCGACGAAGGCCGAATCAGAGCCGCTAGTGCACGCTTCACCCAATCACCTTCAACAGCTCCAATTCGAACCAGAGAGTTCGTCATCGCCGATCTCCTAGCGTTCAATCGATTCGCCGAGTACGTAGTCGACTGATTGTTGTTGCAATTTTTGTGTAGACTGCACCGGAACGAGCCTGGATGCGTCGTAGGCGAACACATACAAGTCTTCTTCGGCATCGACGGCAGACGGCCGTTGCTCTGTTTACGGCCGATCTGATCTCGCGGAGTGACGGTTATCGAACGGCTGGGCGATTTGGATCTGTCGATCGAGAATCGAACGGACGGCGACGTCGACGAGAATCCATGGAGGTTCACGCGCGTCGGAGAAGCGGATCGGTGGAAGAAACTGCTCGACGGAGAGGAGCAGAAGCTAGAGCTTGTCGACGAAGCAAACGACGAGCATGTATCGGACAGTGACGACGACGAGAATCGACCGGAGGGAGAGATTGCTCGTCGGAAAGTCGATGCGATCGGTAGAACCGGTCCACTCGATCTTCTCGATGACGTCCCCATGAAAGCTTCTAGAGAGAGAAACTATAGAGAGAGAGAGAGAGAGAGAGAAGGGACTAGAATATATATTTTTATCTCCAAAGGGCCCTTGGGCTCTTCAGTTCGGCAAACCTAGCTCGCCTCAGAGGTCGGATTTATAGGATGAAGGGGAGTGGGCGAATGGTAAATAAGGGTCTATTTAGTGGTTAATTGTTAGTAGGATAATTCAATTGGTTAACCTGTTGGTGGCGATAACAGAGGTAGGGTTGGGGTTTTGGATGCTGATCCAACGGCTAGAAAGCAATGGACTGCACAAAACGACGGATCTTGAGCCTTCGTCCAAACTGCTTTTCTAGGTATGCGTAGAGACTGCCACGTATGCAGTTTAAGAAATCGGGCACTGATTTTTCGAAAAATACATGAATGCCATTGGTTCTTTAACTCGTATAGATTACAAACAACCCGGATAGTTTCTCCGTATTACACTTATTAGTGGCATTTAAACATTTAATAATTTTATTTGAGCATGGTTATGCAATGGACAAGACACAGGTCTCCACCATTGAGAATGTATAATGTCGATATTATTGATATAGGCTAATAATAAATAAATACGTTTTTTTGTCATTAACAAATCAAAAATAGTGTAAATATTTTATTTTTTATTTGATAACTGTACCCATCATATTTAATTTTATAATTCAAGAAGAGATATTAGTGAAGACTTGAGTATCGTTCTTATTTAATAATATTCAGCCAACAAATAAACCATATTATTCATGATTTTAGATGGAAAGCAACCTAACTGCTGAGCTATAAAGACCGCGACCAAGATACTATTACTCAGTAATAATGGGTACGAAATATTTAAGCATATTAATAAAGAAAAGTTATTTGTTAAAATTAATTAATTAAGGTGATTGTTGGCTTTATTCGGTCTCACTTCTTGTTACGAGGAACTTTGGAGGAAAGAAAATGAAATTATAAACTTTTTAAAACACATACTTGTAATAAATAAAAATAGGGGTTGGGCTTGCATTGGTAATTTTAATTTCGAGATGTCAGTATCTTAGTCTGCGTTATCCGATTAGGATCTCTTAACTTAAACTAGGTGCAAACTTTAAGGTAAAAAAATAATTTAAAAAATTGTTTAAGAACAATCAGGTTTAGTTTGGCTTGGACTACTCAAGTTTGCCTCTTGATTATGAGAGTAACATTGGATCCTAGCAATGGCACTTTATCAAGCCTAAAAGTAAAATACTCATTGTTTTTTATTTTATTTTTATTAAACAAATAACACACTAATTATTGAAAGAGTGAAAGTTGAGTAGTGAAATTTTTATAAAGGATAAAGTTGGTACATAAGTTATTTGTCAAAAGAAAATAATAATAATCAAACCATCTTATTAAAATAGTAAACTAAATTTGAGAATTCGATCACAATTGGATCACCAACTATATTGCGTACTGATTGGTGAATAAATCATTTGATGTGGTCCAATTATAAATGTATAAATGATTCATAAATGCAAAATCTGAAAAGTGATAAATAAGGATAAATAAGAACAATATCTTTTCTTGGAATAAGTTTAATCATCTTAACTGATTTTCTCCATCCCATTATCAGGAGTAGTAACTTTTTAAGAGACATGTAAGATATACATTGTTTGTCTGAAAAATTACTAAATTACTCTTTTAAGTTTTGAATATTCAAGTTTAAAATTTTAAACTCAAATGACGAAATATATTGTTTGAAAAAAAAACGTATACCATTATTTTAAATGACCTGATTAGGCAAATATTATCCAATAAAGAATTTAAAATATTCTTTTGTAAAAGACTCATCACAATCGTATTGTAAATATTCTTTTAATACATATATGGAAGAATTTAATTCCACGTATATATATATATATACACACACACATATATACACAGCATAGAACCAATGGGAGGGGAGGGCAGCTTCCTTAAATCAAGGGCCATACCTCTACCTATCTGGACCCAACACGTACACAAGTTCTTGGCATTACAACCTATGCAGGCAGTTTTGTAAAAGTCTTGATGGACACTCATCATTGACAACTGGCAAGCCCTTACTTGTCCATAGCCTTTTTTTTCCTTTCGACAATCATAGAGACTGGTTTGACCTTAGAATTAACTTTTGCCGCAATCGTAGGGGCAGGAGTTGTGTGATTTGTCAATTGTGCGTGACACTACACCCCATGTAATGTTCCAAGAGCCTTGCTGGTCACCTAATGCCAACTAGCAAGCCACCAATTATTATCCCATTTTTTTAATCAATGCTTGTTTGACCTCACATTTGGCTCACCATTAGAGGTGATGTGAGTTGTCTAATTCAAATTTCAAATTTTAAATTTCAAATTTATTTATTCAATTACAACACCACAATATACCATTAAATTAAGAATGCAAGTTGTTGGCACTGTAATATTAAATCTCCATATAGTATTTTCAATATGTGATATATCTTTGAAATAAATGTGTTGTATAAATGTTAGCATTATTAATATATTAATATTATATTGTTGAATTTATAAGGAATAATTACACTAATCTTATTTATAAATTTCATTATGGTTTAAAATATACTAGCAACTTCTTATTTTAAATAACTATTATATTCAGATACTTAAATTAATTCAAATTAATATTTTAAAACTTTTTTAGGGCATTTTCAAATTTTAACTACATTTTGAGATAATAACATATTAACATATAAGATTGTCCGTTTTTATGACTAGAGACATGGTATTACCAGCTTATTAAATATTGGGATAAATTGCACTGACACCCTTGAAGTTTTGGTCAACATCACTCATGTAGACACTAAAAGTTTAGTGGACTTTGATTTGGACAAATGGACCCATTAAATATGGGCCTAATGTTTAATTAAGTTATTTAATTGGCCCAAGTTTGGTCCACTTAAATTATTTAATTAAGCCCAGTCCAGATGGTTAAATAAAAAGAATAATTATTTCTAATAAAGTATATTTGGAATAATTATTTTTAAGGATAATTATCATAATATATCCGGCCCGGCCCAGTTATAATATTTTCCTTATCAGAGAGGACACGTGTCATCATCCTATGGATCCAAGAAGCTTATAAATAGAGGCCTGGAGGAAAGGAAAATGACACAAAGTCAGAATTCAGAAATCTAGAATTCCAAAGAGAAATACAAAAACTCTCATCCCCAACATCTAAACCCAAAAGCGAAGAACACCAAGCACATCAAATAATGTCATTCTTTATCAAATTCCACGGTGATCAACAACAAGCACAGCCAAAGACGTGCCGTTCTTCATCAAATTCCACGGTAATTCAAGATCAAGCCTGTGCAGCCCTTACATCCAACCAACCAACAAAAAAAGGAGATTTAATTAGAGGACCAGTTCTTTCTTTTGTAAAAAATATTATAGAGAATTGTACCTCGATTTCTTAAATTAATAAAATTATATTATTTGTTCCATATTTTGTTTCTATTGCAGACTTACAAAATTTGTATGTATAAATTTCTGGCAAGCCCGGTGGGACATCCTTTGCCTCTCATTTCTTTCTCCTATCAGCAAGTTTCTTTTCTATCCGACTCTATGGCTCCCCCTAAGACTCAGACAGACAAGAAAACCCAAAAGAACATCGCTACCACAAAGGTCGACGCCAAAGCAATGATGAAAAGTGGCACGAAGGCCAAATCAAATGATGGAAGTACCTTAGCGGGCCCTGTGACACGTAGTGTGATACCTTTCGGATCCGAGACACGGGTTGATCAGGCCCAAGCCCAAACCCGAGGGAAATATCAAGCAATTAATACTTTAAAGCGAACACAGAATACAAAAATGAATTTAAGAATAAAATTTAAGAGCTGAAAGGAACTGAAATATAAAATCCTTAAATAATTAAATACTTAAATTTGGTAATCCAAAACTCCATAATTTAAACAATTCGGGAATCCATCTCTAGTGGACCCCTAATAAAACTCCAAACTGGAATGAAAATAAAACTGAATAAAAAATCCAAATCTATTATCCGGAAAGAAATCCTACGTCGTCGGTAGAGTGGAAGATCGTCTCTGCTCAGCACGGATAACTCAAGCCTGGAACTGACGTACACCTGAAAAATAGGAGTGGGTCAGGCCCACGAACTAGTTATATCCTACTACAATCCAAGTAGAGACTCGATACGCATGTACATATAAAATAGTTCAACAATAACTAATACTCCATACTTAAATATATCCACACTACTAGACTCTCGCTAGACTATAAAGAAGGTCTCAACCTGGATAGGAGGCATCACACAATACGCACCTGAGTGGGCACAAGTACCTAAACCTAAACAGGGTATACCTCAACCTTCACAGTCAGTTACATATCCAATTGCATATACGCACCCTAACCATCGACACTGAGACTCAAGCTCATGACACGGTATCATAAAAATATATCTAAACTCCATTCCTAACCATCCACAAGGAATCCAGTAAGTCATTCGGCGTATTCGACCGTACCAACTTATATATATATAAGGAGGATTGTATTTAATAACCCGTGCCCTTATTCCAAAATAGGTAGGACTTAGCAATTTGAGCTAATCTAAACCTAGTATGACACTGTCCCATACCGGTGCATACAATCTTATCCATCCAATAGTTGACAAAGTATTTACAATAACAATATCAACAATTCCATATTAAGCATAATAAAGTAATTTATCAAACATGCTTAATTAAACTAACAGTTGATAAAATACTGTCCATAAAAGTGTCAATACCAAGATTTCCAAACTAAGCATGTTAGAGCAGATTAACAACCATGCTTAATTAAACTAATACAAAATGTCATAACTTGATCATACAGGACTGTATCCGAATTAAACTCCATGTTCAGTTTCCATATAATTAACAGAGCCTAATTAAATACTGTCTCAGTCAATTCCGTAACATGCAACATAAACATAAGTAAATTATCATACTTATAATTTTTCTACTCAACAGATTAATGCACTGCATTTTAGAAACTTAATCATCAATTAATTCTTAAGAAAATATAGACTCTTAGCAACTAATTCTATTCTTTGAACATGAAATTAACAGTGAACAACTCTCATGGAAATTCTAAAA